CCGGTATTACTCAGGAGGGCTATGTGCATGCTTAGCATGATTAAGCATGGTATTGATGATCCGTTTGAGAGATGGGGTCCGGTATTACTCAGGAGAACAGGCAAGTTTCAAGAATGGTGTACAGGAGCATTTTTCGAATCCGTCCCGTTTTTTCTGCGAGCTCCTGTATCAAGGTTGCATGTGTATTACTAGTAGGGGATGGTTGTTTGTGGATCGTTCCTAGTGTGGGACCTAGTAAGAGTCGGATTGTGGTAATTAGCACATAAACAAGCCAGTGCACAGTGCTTTGCATTGACGGTTTTACGAGCTTGAGAATACAGAGTTTTACGAGTAGATCCGGAGTTTTACGAGCTTGAGATAAGTACGTACCTGTGAAGACGACGGAGCCAAAACAAAACAAACAAAAACAAAAACAAAAAACATAAACAATAACAAAAACAGAACAAGCAACGATTAGCACATAATTCCGTGTAATTAAATAATTCCTTGTAATGAAAAACAATAAAAATATATATATATAAAAATAAAAATAAAAATAAATAATAAGAATAAGAATAAGAATAAAAGAAGAACAAAATAAAATAAAATAAGAATAAAATAAAATAAAATAAAACTAGGACAGTCAAATCAGTAGTAAAAGAATAGAAAAGAAAAGAAAAGAAAGGAAACGGGAATACGAAGAAAACTTCCCGATTGTAAAGACCAGGACATGTAAAATATAACGCAGGAGAAACGTGAAAGATGGAGAAAAGTTTTTTGGCACTATAACCAGAGTTGGGATAGGTAAATGGATGAACCCACGGAAGGTATTTAGTGGAGAGAAGTGAAAAGGACGAAGGAGTGTTTATCTGTGATAAATACGGAAGAACTATATCCAGGTATATAATACTCGACCCTCGCCCACCCCTCCCCAACACAGCTATCCCAAACCCACAACATCCATCTCCTGGAGAAAATCTTCACCAGATCACAAACAGACCCCTCCCCATTGTCAAACAGCATCTAGAGTACAAACCAACCTTAGCATTGATCTCAAAATTTTTAGTCGTGTCGGACAGCAACTGACCAAGTACATCGAATCATTGATGGGATATCCCCATGGTATATCCCCATGTGGTATCCCCCAACCCCACCCCCACCCCCATCCCCCCCCACCCCTCCCTTCTGTTTATGGGGTAAAACTCTGATGTGTGCTATTTGGATGTGTGCGATTTGGATGTGTGCTATTGGGATGTGTCCTATTTGGATGTGTGCTATTATGTAGAAGTAACAGTCGGAAAAAAACCTCTCTACTAGGATGTGTGCTATTTGGATGTGTGCTATTAGGATGTGTGCTATTTGGATGTGTGTTATGTGCTATTGGGATGTGTGTTATCGGGATGTGTGCTATTTGGATGTGTGCTATGTGGTATTGGGATGTGTGCCACTATTTGTGCAGATATGGACACAGACGTAAGATGGGGGCATGGAGAGCAGTGGCAAGGCATGAATGTCAGACAGCCCAATCTTTGGGGTCTGTGGATGGGTTCGTTAGACTGCATGAAGTATATGGGTGGTGGTGGGTCATCCTGCTGGCGACGACAATGATAGACATGCGTCTATTCATTCCCCTTGTCACTCCTCTTTACCCGTCCCATTTCCTTGCCCCTACCCCTCCTCGCCTCTCCTGTCCTTGGTTTGCCCGACCTCGCTGCAAGTGCTTTGCACCCTATTCTACGTCTTTGAAGCAGACAAGTGCAGTCTCTCTCTCTCTCTCTCTCTCTCTCTCTCTCTCTCTCTCTCTACAAGAGGGTAGGATCAGTTGGAAGGGGCACTCTCTCTACAAGAGAGAGAGGAGAGAGAGAGAGAGAGAGAGAGAGAGAGGCGTGCACAAAGACATTTGGATGGGGTTTGCAATGTTTGCTCATGGGATTGAATAGGTAGGTTAAGATTGGATTAAGTGACTCAGGGCGTGCGCACACAACCGGTAGCCACGAACTCAACCCGTGTGTCCTTCATTGCTGAAGAATTTCGCACACAGACAACTTGAAGTAGTTCTCATTAGCTAGACAATACAAAGTAACATACACAACATAGCACTTTTTTTTCTTTTTTCTTTTTTTTTTTAATCGTACAAATGGTGATTAAAATTTTGAAGTAGTTCTCATTCGCTAGACAATACTATGTGTGAGTGTGTGTGAGTATGTGAGTGTGTGAGAGTGTGAGAGAGAGAGAGAGAGTGTGTGTGTGTGTGAGAGAGTGTGAGAGAGTGTGTGAGAAAGTGTGAGAGAGTGTGAGTGTGTGTTTGTGCGAGAGTGTGTGAGTGTGAGAGAGTGTATGTGTGAGAGAGTGTGTGAGAGTGTGAGTGCCTGTGAGAGAGTGTGTGTGAGAGTATGTGTGAGAGCGACAGAGTGCTCAGTGATCACTGAGGTCGCATGAGAGTAGAGAGAGAACGCTGCCACCCGCTCTCTCTGCCGCAGTGCCTAGAGTACTTGGCGCGGAAACTTCACACAACAGGAAGAAGACAAACTCTTTCGATCGGACTTTATCTGGCCCATGAGTTGGTGGATAATCTATAAAGATAACGGTATCGTCAAACAGAGCTTCCCGGTAAACAGTAGGCAGACAGGGAGATATATATAAATATATTAACTATATATATAAGTATATACACGTCTACATGCACGCGTATGTCTGTATATTCGTGTGCGTGCGTGCCCGCAAGTTGGTCAAATTTACAAAATAAAATGCCACATATAAAGAAGACTGCGTAAAATGTATGTGTGTGTGGGTGTGTGCTTGTGTTTGTGTTGTCGGAGAGGGCTGAGGGGGAGAGCGAAGAGGCGATGGCAGGGGCAGTGGAGTCAGGGGGAAGGGGGGGGAAG